GAAGGCCACATCAGCCAAACTGGACGGTCTCCGAAATTGGACGGTCTGGTCTGCGGAGGATTTCGTGGTTTCATCACCATCGCTTGATGAAAGAAGGAGTAAGCTAGCAAGTTAGCTAGCCCTAAATCATGGACCCAGAGATTGTTATTATTATTATTATTATTTTTAAATCTAATCCTTGAGATGATTCACTGCCGTTTGATATATTTCACGCTGATGGACCGTTTTCAGGTAAACTTATTAAATTCAGTTTGTTTAAGCTGTGTGCTTTTAGCTAACAGTAATGTCACCAACTGTTAACCGTTAGCTAGTCAACAACTGTTAGTGGTTAGCTGTTTAAGTTGTGAGAACGCCGTCGCTAGGCAGCAGCAACATGGACGCCATTGTCAGCATCTAGAAGCCACCGAGGATAACAATTTATCAGGCTATACAGTAAATGCAAAGTCATAACGACAAAGAAAGAGGTTCAGTAACAACAAGGTCATGAATATCATGACTAGTTTGTATGGACAAGTTGTGAACGCCGTAAAAACGAGCCCATTTGAAGGCAGCATTTGCTACAAATAAACAATTTCACTTTACCTTTGGGTTGCCAGGTTGTGAAAAATCCTTCACTTGCATCAGTATGATTTGCTTTAAAATATTTTAATGCTACGAGTTCAGTGGTGTTTAAATTTCAGTTTGAAGTATTCAGGAGTTGTTAAAATTAAAATACTTAGGTCTAACACTTGCTTCCATACTACTAAACTCTTTAAAAAAGGGTGCCATTATCAGAAAACGGCAGCGGGATTGGTAGTTTTCACTGACCTCTGCTCCTCCTCCAGCTCCTCAGCAGACATCATCATTTGCAGATGGTGGGATCGCGCCTTTCCAGGGACGTACTTCAAGGAATCGTTTGTTCCCATTTTATCTACAGAAACAGAATAGACTCTGATTACAAAACTAAACCAAACTTTTCTTTTGAAGAAAGAAGCAGTGTTATTTGAATATTGAATTATTTCAAAGTGGGTAAAAGTGCTCACCATTGATCCCTGGGCTCTCTGTGGCTCCTTCAGTCTGGGGGTGTGAGAAAGCACACTTTAGGAGTTCCTTATCAGAGAGCCCGATGAATGACCTACGACTCGCCCCCGACGAGGCCTCGGACGACGAGTCTACTTCTAAGCTCATGCGCCTACATCCAGGCCTGGGGACGGACAGGCTAGATGTGGAGGAGGAGTGCTCAACTGGTGTTGCCAGTTCTTCAGTGTGAGGGTGAGGATGTGCCTCCTCCTGTCAGAGAATTAAGGGGTCAGATGAGCGGAATCAAATCATAATTTTTTTCCCCAACACTTGAGCAATGCATGAATGTTTTTTGTAACGTATGAAATATCTGTGTACACTTGTGTTCTTGCAGTCAGGCCCCTGCTGTAGAGATATAGCTCCAAACAAATCAGTTAAACTCCTTGTGTTACCTGGATTCCTCACCTCTCCTGGATGCTGATCTGGCCTACACTTGGTGCAGGTGTCAGGTTATCGATTCATTCTTTGCTCCCCTGGGTGCTGATTTGACCTCTCTACAGGCAGACATCCAGATATCCCCAACAGGCATTTAACAGGCTAACAAAACAGATCCTGACAGCTACCTGAGAGGTGTGAGGAGGCTCATCCTGCCACTTCTCCTTTCGCAAAACTACAAGTTCAAAATAAGAGTGAGGCCATGTTGCTTATTTTATGTATCGATACCAGTTCAGGCTAAAAGACACAACAAATGACCGTTAAGTTTATGTTGTTGAGGTTCTCCTACTGTTGGCCTCTCAGTGCTTGTTATTTCTTTGCACACCAAGAAAGGTGAGAGTGATGTCATTTACTAGAAAAGTCCGCAAAGGTGAGTCCTACGGAAGTAATTTAATGCTAACAGCCACTGAAAACTGAAAATTTAAACACCACTGAGGTGATTGCATTGAAATCTTTATTTTTATTTGTTGTCGTGAATTCAAAAAATCTAAATTGAATTTTGAAATTAAATAATGAAACTTCTAGTTTTATGATTTTAAAGGATGAATTTGAATATATTTTTTTAATTTCACAAATTCTGATCCAAAAATTCAAGTTTCAGAATTCAAAAAAATTATGATGCAGATTGCTCAAAACACATTTTTTTTTTTTTTTTTTAATTCTGAACACTGACATTTTTTGAATTTGTGAAAATCATAAAAATATATATGGGTATGTGTGTATATAGATAGATAGATAGATAGATAGATAGATAGATAGATGTTCAAATTTAGCTTCTGACATTGTACGCTAAGAAAATTCAAATTTGATTTCAAAGAGGTGAATTCAGAACAAACACATTTTGGATACACTGTTTTTCAAAGTGAAACTATTCAATGCTCTGATTTTAGGGGTGTTTCAATTTTAATATCAAGTATTAAATGCCTTTGAAAATTAAAATACTTATGTCTTTTATTTGCTTCCCTGAAATAAATCCTATTCACTCAAGAACTGTGATCTGGTACCATTTCAAGGTACTAGTACTTTACTTGAGTATTTCCATTGTATGTTACTTCATTCTTTTATTCCGCTGCAAATCACAGGGAAATACTGTACTTTTTACTTACATCTATTTGACATAAAGAGGGCTGTAGCTACCTGGCTAATAATTTTATTTTTTAATCACTGATATTTTCTTGATTAATCGAACAATCTTGTCTACAAAATAATAGCACAGCCCAGTTTCCCGAAGTCCAATGTGACGTCTCCATGTGTCTTTTTTTGTCAACTGTCCAAAACCTGAAGACATTTACTATTAAAGAAAAGTAACAAAACTGTAAACATATTCCCATTTAAGTGGCTGGAAACAGCGCATTTTGCCATTTAGCTTCAAAAACAAATATAAAAATTACCTAAGTAACCCTTGTAAAAAATCTTGCTGATTCATTTTGTTGTCCATCAATCAATCAATTAATCTTTGCAGCTATAAATACACAAAATATATGAACATTTCATAAAATACAGCACACTAAAACACCCCACTGTATATAAATAAAGCAGTTAAAATTAGCTTCAACTGGACCTGCTACGCCATTGAAATTGCGCTGACATGCTAATGCATCAGTGGCAATAGTGTATATGTGATAAAACATCAATCGTTAATCAAAATGGTAATTTTACTTTTGATTCTTAAGTGTATTTTTCTGATGATACCTCCGACTGCAGGACTTTTACTTGTAACTGAGTATTTTATTGTGGTATCAAAAGCACCGTTGCTATGAACAGATGCATCAAGCGCTGTGCATAGAACATCAAGTACTGGAGGGGGCACCAAAACAGCCAACTTAGCCACGCCTGCTTAAGTACAAACTTTAATTGTGATACCTGATTACATTATGCTTCAGTTAATTCAAATTATAATTCAGCTTTACTTGTTAAGGAATATATTTCCCATTGTTACAAAGCTACTATTACTAAAAGGCTTTGAGTGCCTCTTTTATATGGAGGCAAATACATGACAAAAGTATTTTAATTTTTAAAAACCACTCAATATTTAATGTTGATTTCTTTTTTTAAAAACTGATGGAAAACCATATGAATGTATTGGTTCTGAATTCAACTCTAAAATTAAAAGGATGTTTTTTTCTATTTTCAGTTTCAGAAGCTTAATTAGGATATATACTTGTCACTGTTTGCAAATTAGGATCCAACAATTCATGTTTCAGAATTTCAAAGAGTAGAAAAAAGAAAAAAAAAGAAGAATTTCAAAGAGTAGATTCAGGTTGCTCAAATCTCATTGGTCAAAATCCAATATCAAAATTCAAGTTGAAAAAACAAAAACACAAACAAAAAAAAACCTACTAGAACATACATTCTTTTATCAGTGTTCATAAATTCAGATCCATAAATTCAACTTTCAAAATTTCAACAAAAAAAAAAAAAAAGAATTTCTGGAGCTGAATTTAACATTTCTTAGGTTCAAAAGTAGATTCAGGTTGCTCAAGTTCTGATTTGACCAAAAATTCAGATAAAAGAGAAAAAAAGATAGAACATCATATTTTTCTTTGTGTTTAGAAATTCAGATCCATAAATTCAACTTTCAGAATTAAAAAAAACAAAAAACAATTGAATTTCTGGATCTGAAATTCACATTTCCTAATTTGCAGTTTCAAAAGCTTAATTTGGATAGACATATATTTGTCAATATTTGTAAATTTGGATCCAGAATTTCAAAAAGTAGATGTGGGTTCCTCAAATTTGATAGGTCAAGTTCTGATATAAAAATTCAAGTAAAAAGAAAATCAAATATAACATCATATAGTTTTTCTTTGTGTTCATAAATTCAGAACCATAAATTCAACTTTCAGAATTTCAAATAAATAAAATTTTAAAAAAGAATTTCTGGAGCTGATTTTGATATTTCTTAATTTGCAGTTTCAAAAGATAAATTAAGACAAATGGTTGTGTTTATAAATTCAAATCCCAAATTTCAAAAAGGTAGATTCAGATTGTTCACATTTGACTGGTCAAATTCAGATATAAAAATTCAAGTTGAAAATAAATCAAATACAACATTAATCAAATTTATTCAATTTTTTTTCAAAATTCTGAATCTGAATTTATGAACAAGAAAAATATATACCGATACCGATCAAATGTCAGCAACCTGAATCTACTTCTTGAAATTCAGGATTTGAATTTTCTAACACTGACAAACATCAATCCAAATTTAGCTTTTGAAACTGCAAATAAAAAAATAGTCATATTTTAATCTCAAAGAGGTAAATTCATGGTTTCCAAAGTAACATTAAAATGAATTCAGTGGTGTTTAAATGTCAACGTTAAATATTCAGTGGTTGTTAAAGAATCTAAATACTTTTGTCTCTTGTTTGCCTCCATACTTCCACCTCTGACTGGATATGTAAAGTGTATCTGAGGGGGAGAAATCAGTAAAAGATCAACAGGGAATGACATGAGGGAAAAACAAACAGCTCTGTGTGATGACAGGCAGATTACAGCTGACTTACTGAGAGCACAGATTTCACTACATCCCAGTGATCGTGTGAGCTCACGCTCATCTCACACCAGTCGTCCTCCGCCTTCTTCTTCTTCTTCTTGTCCGGTAAATAGCCATTTTGCTTCGGCCCCAGGTGATCCCCACCGTCTCCTCTGTGTCCGAAATAATTTGCAAAGTCGGCTGTCGGCGAGGAGCCGTTAAATACCGACGTGGCGACCACAATAGCGAGAAGCGTGAAGATCGCAGCTGACAATACAAAAGTTAGATCCATGGTTTCTGTGCAGCTCAGCGGAGGATTGTTGGGCCTGTATTGACACTGTCTCTATCCGGCTGCATTCACTCGCAGTTGGCCATCACGCTACTTGTAATAATCCTCACCAAACATCAGCGTTAACGGGCGGTGTTTACGGGATATGGTACAATCTCCTCTCCGAGCAGCACGTCACATCCTCCGGTCCCGCCCCCTCCCCTCCTCCCCGTGTCTGCAGAGTACTACCCCGGCCTTGTATCCTCACACCCCGGGGCGCATCAGGTGCGCTGGCACGGCACGTTGCAACATGCTCGGCTCTCGACTTTTGCCGTTAATCCCATCAGCGATGAGTGCGCCGCACAGACCGGGAGACTGTAATGGGTTGTGACAGGACCCGTGTGCTGCAGGTGCAGGCTGGGAAAGTCAAGCAGGGTTTACTGTCGGTGCAGGAGCAAAGGTGTTCTCACCTGAGGACGCAGCTTCCAACCAGTCTGCACCAGGGATTTAATGTGGACAATAAACACCTGAGAGCAGCAAAACTAAATGTAATGTCCAATTAGACTGTAGTGGTATGGTTCAGATAAATATCATGTCCTCCTGAGACCAGGACTTTAGTTTGGTTTGCATTTTAAATTTCTCCTAGGTAGCCTATTTGAGATCAATAGGACCTGATATGTATAAGAAGGTAAATATTGTCCCAATGTCCTCAAATTAGACAATGATAAAGTTCCAATGTCCTTAAACAAGACGACAATAAAATCCCAATGTCCTCAAACAAGACGACAATAAAGTCCCAATGTCCTCAAACAAGACGACAATAAAGTCCCAATGTCCTCAAAGGAGACGACAATAAAGTCCCAATGTCCTCAAAGGAGACGACAATAAAGTCCCGATGTCCTCAAACGAGACTGCAATAAAGTCCCAATGTCCTCAAACGAGACAGCAATAAAGTCCCTGTTGCATATAAAAACAGCCACAGAACATTAAGAAAAACAAAGTCAAGTCAACCTGAAAAACACATGACCTGGAAAGAAGCATAACTTCCACTTAAAAAGAGACTTTTTGAGGTATTAAAATATTCCTGTGTGTCATTACAGGCTGTAGGGAGACGTTATTATCTGTAATTAAGTTGGATTGTTGCGTCACTGGATTGTGCATGTTGGAAGCTGTCAGATCCTTTTTAGTGGAGTTTCAGTCAGCACCATGAAACCTGCAGCAAACACTGTCTCTGCTGCTAACTATAGTAGCAGGAAGCTCATTGGCTCATCATGGGCAAGTGTTGATTTCAATGAAAACCTCAATGAACTTTAGTGATTAATTATTTTTACTTGGTTGATCCATCTATCCATTTTCTGCCTCTGTCCTGGTCCATGCTGTATTTGATTAACTTATTATATCAGTAGGAATTTTTGCTATGAGCCTGAGGCTTTTAGCTATAGTTCTTATCACTTATTGCATCATCAAATAATCTGGCTATTTGTTGACACAGTTTTAGGCTCAGCAGCTCTGTTTAGCTCATGTTCAGCACTCAGCCAAGGCACACTGACATTATCATGAGGAAATTCTGTTGGAAAAATAGTTTCAACATATTGACTCTTCATACAATGAAAAGTATACAAGGAACAAAAATACTGACTCCAGGATGTCAGTTAGTCATCAGGTCCCAAACGGTCATGTTTAAATGGAATGTGTCAATAGATAGTTGATGTCATTGTTTAAACATTCTTTTTTCCCATGACATGTCAAAACATCTGCTCTGAGAAAGAGTGACAAAGTATCCCTGGTGTTACTCGTCTGTTCTCAGGACAAAAGTCCCCTGTTCTGTCAGAGCTAGAGGCTGAAGACATTGAGAAATGACTTCTGGGAACTGCTGAGAGGTCTTAAACAAACACTTAATCGCAGAGGTGTGGACTTGAGTCACAATACGTAGACTCAAGTCAGACTCCAGTCACAAATTTGTTAACTTAAGACCTGACAAAATAAAAAACGACTTGCAATTCAACTTGGACTTTAACGCCAATGACTGGGACTTGAGCCCTTTGACTTGGAAAAAAAAAAGATACCTTCCCTCGAACCCAAAGATGAAAAAGTATATCATTTAAAAAGAGTGTCACAAATGAATTAATGTCCCTTGATTTCCTTAATTAACTAACATTAATGCTATCATTCACTGCAAGTTGACACTTTATTTTATTTAGGTTAAAGAACTCTGGCTTTTTTCATGCACTCAAAACATAAATTTATCTCAAATTTCGGTTATAAATTGGTAAAATCCATGTTCGTGATTACTAGGGCTGCGACTACGACTAAGAATATTCTTAGTGGACCTAGTCGATAGTCCCAAATCATGGACAAATGGTGTGGTAGATTGGTCACACAAACACGGACTTTTCACCAGGAGATCCCTGTTTATATCCCATGTGAAACCAAAAGTCAACGTAGTGATGTGACTTTATCTACTTTACCTAATTATGCAAAGTACTTTACACAGGTACTTTACCTAATGACACAAAGAACGTAAGTTTACGTCCTATATGTGGTTATCTTAACCAAAACTACAATCTTTTTCTAAACTAAACCAAATATTTTTTTTTACTCCGCACTGGTTTTGTGAGTGGACATCTGTTTTAAAACTCCGGTCTACTCGAGCATAACCACGGGGAGGGGGGCTGCTGTCTGAAGGCTTTAAACATGCCATCATTCACCCTCTCATCAAAAAAGAAAATCTTGATCCATCTGTTCCTGGTAACTACTGTCCAATATCAAAGCTCTCATTTTTATCAAAAGTCCTGGAAAAAGTTTCCTCTCCTCATCTCCTTCCTTGACAGTTACAGCATCCTGGACAAATTTCAATCAGGCTTTAGAAAACATCATAGCACAGAATCCACCCTGTTGAGAGTAACAAATAACCTACTATTATCCTTAGACTCGGGCTGTTATGCCACTCTGATTCTTTTAGATCTGTCAACAGCATTTGATACTGTGGATCACTCCATTCTCTTGGACCGCTTGGAGCATGTTGTTGGCATTCAGGAACGGGCTCTTCAGTGGTTTGCTTCCTACCTCTAAAGCCGCTCAGCCTCTGTCCAAATTGGTAATGTGTCCTCCTCCTCTGCTCCCATCTCCTATGGTGTTCCCCAAGGCTCCATTTTAGGCCCAATTTTATTTTCACTATACATGCTTCCATTAGGCTCTATACTAAGGAAATACAACATATTTTATCACTGTTAGGCAGATGATTCCCAGTTGTACCTCCCTTTGAAACCATCAGATCCTTGCAGCATTAATTCACTATTACTCTGTATTAATGACATAAAATCTTGGATGGTACGAAGCTTTCTCCAGCTGAACCATGACAAAACTGAGGTCCTCACCTTTGGCCTTACAGACATTTCTGCCTCTGTTACCAGTGCTCTTGGTCCTCTGTCTTCACATTTAAAATCTCATGTAAAGAATCTTGGTGTCATCTTTGACTCTGGCTTTAAATTTGATAAACAGATCAACTCAGTTGTCAGCTCAAACTTCTTCCATCTAAGCTCCATTGCAAAACTTTAATCATTTCTGTCCATAAAAGATTTAGGAATTCTGGTTCATGCTTTCATCTCCTCCTGATTACAGTATTGTAATTCCCTCTACACCAACATCAACCGGTCAGCTCCATCACGCTTGCAGCTCATTCAGAATTCAGCAGCAAGACTCATTACTGGTACCAGAAGAAGTGATCACATTTCCTCTGCATTGGCCTTGCTTCACTGGTTACCTGTAAAGTACAGGATTGATTTTAAGACTCTTTTATTTGTTTAGCACTACATGGACCAGCACCAGATTATATTTCAGAACTCCTCACTCCCTATTCCACCTCTCGTCCCCTCAGATCCACTGACAAATCACTGCTTTCTATCCCACTTACAAAGTTAAAAACCAGAGGTGACAGAGCTTTTTCAGTTGTTGGTCCGAAACCCATCTCTTTGCCTTAGCTTTTGGTGATTCATCATGAAAACATTTTTTTTGATATTCATCTTCTTCATTGAATTTGCTCAAGGCCAACTCTACTGTCTTGGTTGATTATTTTCTTGGTTGTGCGTAACTGTATCCATTGTAAAGCACTTGGTCAACACTTGTTTTTAAATGTGCTCTATGAATAAAGTTGACTTGGCTTGTAGCACCCACTAGTGGCGGGTGGCTGCATGACAGTTAAACTGCCTCATACATGAACAGCACACTGATTGGTTTGACCGTAATTTACACCCCTGACTTTATTGCACTTGGTCTCTATTTGCTTTTGTACATTGTTGTATTACATATTTGATGAATGATGCAAACATTCATGTAATGCACTACTGTATATATATATGTGTGTGTCTTTGTATTTTAGAAGCCAAGATGAAATGAAAAATGACTTTCAAACTCTTGAAGGTTTGTGCACCTATTTAACAATATATGCAAGAGATTTCTTTATATTCTTATATCAAATCTAATCATGTTTTCTTCCTGTAAAACAAAATATGACATGGGCTTTATGTACGCTAGTGTGAACCAATGTCAACCAATGATATTAAGACATCCACCTTCAATGTGCAACCTTTAAATGCACAGAGCTAAGATTAAGTTAGCTAGCTAGCAACAGCATGCTACATCGGTGTGTCTGTTTCCCTAAAGCTCTCGTGTATCTTGGTTCTCTGAATTTGTTGTGCTCCCTCTGAACTGTGATTTTTTTCTATCTCTGCTATTTTTTTTTGTCATATTTGGGTAATAAATTTGAAAACTAAATAAAATCTTGGCAAAAAAATTTGTCAGATTTGGTTTTTCCACAAAAACTTCAAAAATAAATTCATACAATGTTAGCTGCCCCCTTCTTTATTAAAAAATCCAGAATGTGAATATGCAAACATTTTTACAATCAACAGCTTAAAGCTATGTAGTTTTTACCAAACAGCAGCCACTGTGGCAGCAGGAAGCATTGTGAGACAAATGTGGCAGTAGCACAATAAGAGACGTCATAAATGTCTGCTTTACTGCGTGTTATGTCTCACACATTCATCTCCAGCCTGAGAACAAGAATTTGATTGACAACTGTTCAACTATAATTGTTTTGCATGTGACAAATAAAGACTTGAAACCTGATTTGAACTATGATGTTTATTAGCATTCACCTGAAGCAATTACAAGACATTTGAGAGGTTCACAGAGGAATGAAATACACAAAAATCATTCATTAAGCAGCCTGGACTGCCCTTTAAACCCTTCACTAGGAGTCACACTGGACCCAATTTCAGAATGGAAAAAAAAACAAAGCGAGCAAAACCAGTTATCAACAGTGGAAAAACCACAGAGGGGAGGAGAAGGGAGAAGAATAAAGAGAAAGGGAAGGAGGAGAGAATCTGTACAGCACATGGAGGGAAGGAAAGGTCACAAGACAGGAGAGGATGGATGATCTGCCACACCTGTGAGCTTACAAACCGGCAAACAGCAGCGGAGGGTCGAGCCCCGGAACAGCGCCGGGCACTCAGCACCGCAACACGCCACACCATGTCACCACCGCACTGCACCGCATCTTAACAGCTAACCAGCATTACTCAACTGCTACACAACTGCGCCTAGTGCACAAAAGATACACAAGAAAGAGGGTTAGAGTCATAGGAAAGCAACTTTAACCAGACAGAAAATAGAGATATGACAGAAAAGAAAATGTATGCTGCCGGATTAGCAAATCACAAATTAAGTGGCACAGCGATACTTAAATGTTTTACTTTAATGTCATTGTACAGTAAACCTTTTTTTTAATTTCCAAAAAGAGTGGTCTAACATAGCTGTAAAGGCTTTGAACGTCCAACATGACACCCTGCAAATAAAACTCATTCATATCCATCTAGAAAGCGTATTAAACAAGGGATTTCGATAAGAACGCTACGTTAATTAAAAAAAAATTAAGTACAAATGTAATCCAATGGAAAAAGCCCAATTTAAACGAGAGAAGAAAAAAAAACACCTTACAAATCCCTTTCGAAATGCTCAACTTTACAAACGATGACAATGTCAAAGTTACAGAATGTGTAAATTAAGTCAAATTTAAAACATTTTAGACCAAGTTCCAATAACCTTTCAGTCTGCATTCAGTGGTAATAGTGGAGTCCACTTGCTCGTTGTGAGACTCATCCTGATGTCCTCAACAAAGGCTCAATCATCTGAGATCTGGAAGGAAAGACAGAGCAGAGTTAACAAGAGCAAAACAAAGAGGTTATCCCAACACCTGCAGCTGACCTGGGTATTTAAATGCAGTACTGGTCTGACCTTCTTTCCCCTGATGCTAACATTTATCAAACTGCATTTCCTGTGCATCCATCTTCATGTATCATACCTAACATTTCTAGTAATGTTCACATTTCTTTCCCCCCCCCCCCCCCCCAAATAAAACTAGCTCTAACAAGACTCTTACACTCGGGCGAATTTGAAAAACAAACCTCGGTTCCCTTTGTGAGAGGCGGAGGAACCCACAGGCACAGGTGGGTGCAGTGCTCAGTGCATCTGCCTGTGATCCCCGCGAACGTACCTCACCACACCACCTCATACACCAACTGACAGCCCGAACCACCGCCATGACGACCTGCTCCATAGCAACCACCGTTGCCTTGGTGACCTGCTCCTTAGCAACTGCCATCGCTCTCAGCAACAGGCAGGTCACATGGGCGGGTCACACACTAACTGCTCTCACACTGCCACACCCCCATCTCCTCCTCCTCCTCCTCCTCCTCCTCTCTTTGCAAACAGGACTCCGCAGCTTGGAGGAAAGAATTCCACATTTAGGTGAACGTTTTTTTTTTAGTGAAGCACCCCACGTCCCTCCCATACACACTATATGTACACCCCATTTTAAATATATGATACATTATGTAACATAAAACCCAAATCTCTCATGTGTGTGTGTTTTACATTGGCTGAAGAAGGCAAAGTAAAGCACACACAGACCTCAGACTGTAGACTATATCAGTCCCAAGCTTATTTTATGTTTATAAAAACATTCAGGACTCTGCAGTCTTTGTCGCTTGTGAGCAAATGACTTTAACGTGACACAAAGACTGCAGGATATCAACCCATGTGATGACAGATGGCCATCTCAGATATAATATTTGCAACAACATCATCCACCCTTCCCCTTGAATACCGTCATGTTGTGTCCAAGTCTGGATTAAGTCTCTGCTTCGTTGTCCTCTGGAGATTTAGGCCTACTCTTGGATTTGGAGCGAGACCTGGATTTGGACCCTCTGTTGGAAGGCGGGGTTCGACTCCTTGACTTGGAGGACCTCGACCTGGAGGGAGACTTTGTCTTGCTCCGCCTGGGGGTCCTGGACTTGGACTTGGATTTGGACTTGGACTTGGATTTAGACTTGGACCTGGACCTCGACCTGGATCTGGAGTCGGAGCGAGACCTGGAGCGGCTGTAGTGGTGGCGGCTCCTGGATCGGGAACGGCTTCTGCTCCTGGAGCGGCTTCGGCTACGTCTGCGGCGGCGGGGACTGGCTGAACGGCTGTGGGCACATAGTGAAACACTTCAGTAATCAGCAGGAACAAATCAAAGTAACATGGACACTGACAGATGTAATCTAAGAAGTACACATCAGTGTTTCCACAGAATTAGAGATCTACATGTGGCAGGATGAGCAAACTTTGCGTGATTTGGTTTGTGTGTGTGTGTCCTGACTCCTTTTTAAATGTGGAGGTTGTTACGGGTCCATGAACACATCGCAGGCAGAGTGCTCTGCGCTCTGAGGGTGACGCAATGAATAAGAGATCAGTACACATGTTCCAATAGTGCTCCTTAAGATCAAAATCCTAAACATCAAAATCAATATGTGGCGGCAGCTGTTTTGTTATCGTGGCTGGCTGCTAAAAATTAATATATGGGAAAACCTGCACATTAAATTTAGGGATGTCCGTGATCAGTCTACTAGCTGAATAAATCTTGCTACCCTTGCTCATTGGCACCAGAAATTCTACTATGTCAAACATTATCATTTCTTGCAAAATTATGGCAAGTTTTATAAAGATATATTTTCCTAAGAAACACTGTCTTCAACAACTTAATAACTTTTAGATAATGAGTTGTTTTCATGTTTTGTAGGATAATGTGCAATGTTCATAAGCATGGTGCAAAGTTCCACATGAATCAGCTGTATTAAAATGAGTGTTTGGTAACTAAAAAATGTTATTAATGGCTTCAAATGGCTCTTTTAATGTAATCAATATTTTTTCAGATACACTTTAAACAAACACATTAAATTGTGCTCCATTTTGACTGTTTTCTGAATGCTATCTTACCTTTAGACTAGTCCGATGATCTAACTTTAAATGGCTGTTTAAACATTCGGGAAATAAGTTACTAGGATCGTCCCTAACTAAATTATTTTAATGACCAACCACCTGATAAAACTAGGTAGACTGGGTGCTACAAAGCTACAACCATTAGACCGAATCAGGGTTGAAAATTAGCACCAACCAAATGCTGGTAAAATGTTTAAGTGGCTGCTAGATTTGCTTCAGTCACCAGCCTGAAAAACAATGGTAATGTAAATGTGGACAAAGAAGTTAATTTCCAACCCTGCCAACTGATTACCTGCTCAACATAATCTGTGGATTAGGCCTAGTAACATCAGATAATGACAATAAACGTTAGCTGAGGCCCTAAAGTGATATTAACACATCAGTCTGTGCATTATCGCACACATTATTATAATAATGACATCATGATGACTGCTGTGCAGTTATGTAATTTCGCAATGACAGTATTTACTTAATGATCACTAGAAAAACAAGCAGTGGTTCAAATTCAATCTGTTAGTTTCGCTTTGAACCATGTGCTCTTCTTCGCTTTACAACGAACGGGGTTCATGATTTAACCTAGTCACACCAGCGTTTACCTCCTGCTCCTGCGGCCACCGTACCCTCCTCCGTATCTGCGCGGCGGCGCACCCCTCCGGCTGTACATGGAGTCCGGGGGTCGTCCGTACCGGGCCATCTGCACCCGGAGCTCCCGCCCGTCCAGCAGCGCGCCGTCCATAGCGTCCATGGCGTCCTCGGCGTCACGCTTGTCGAGGAACCGCACGAAGGCGAACCCGCGGCTCTCCTTGGTGTACCTGTCCCGGGGGATGTACACATCACCCACACGGCCGTACTTCTCAAATACCCGGCGCAGAGTCTCCGGCGAAGTTCGGTAAGTCAGGTTATCCACTTTGAGGGAGGTCATCCCCTCCACGTCTGGTGGCGCCCTACCGTAACTGCTCATTTTCTTCGTCTCCAGGCAACACAGCCGGACAGGAAAGTTGAAACCAGTTAGACCCTACCGTTATGTAAACGGTTACGGTTAGTTTGCAAATCTCCCGCTGGTGTATCCGGTTCAAATTCTGTCTGATTTTGTTTAATTGTTTGGCACTGGTTGTCGGCCTTGTCGCGCGCTGCTTTCACGTGAAATGGCGGCAAGAAAGCTTCCTCTTCCCTTTCTTTGCGCCCGCGTTGGCCTCCTCTGATTGGCTGCTCGACTGTTCAGTTACCGGTACACTGCCCTCTGTCGGCGGGGAGCCGCTTATGGCGCCTGTAGTGGACTGGTGTCCCGTTTAGTTAAATTTAAAAATATCATAGCTTTTATTATGGGTTAACGGTTGTTTTGTTGTATATGAACTCCAGATATTATTGCCGTGTGGACTATTGAACAACTCTCACAGTCTGTATCCTATATGTTGCGACAAAACGATTTTAGAAACATAGATGCTTAATTGGCATCTGCGGCGCCGCCATATTGGAGAGGTCAAGACTTATCTCAAAACAAATGACAGTAAACGGGGAGCTGCAGTTTTTCTGAATAAAAAGCACTATAATGTTTATATTTCGCAACTGATTATAATGAGTCGTTTTTATATTAATGGGTTTATGATCTACGTGTAGTAGAAAAAAACGTTTTATGTCCAATTTATTTTCAACCTTGATATTTATGCTACAGTGCTACAGGAATGACTTTTTTTGTAGGCCGATAAGGAAGTTAGCATCACACTGGTTCCCTCTTCAGAAAGCCAACGGGATTTTTCCATTGGATTCTGGATTACCTTAGAAAACACCCTCTGTGGCAACCAAACGTTTATGAAACTTACACGTTTTGTTCAGCGAGATAATCTGCACAAATCAACAAATTTGCACGACACTGTAAATTAGAAAGTACTCATTTGAAGACATAAGGAATTTATCATCAGCTCATTGAAGGACAATGGGACTTTATTATTGTCTTGTTCAAGGACATTGAGACTTAATTATCATCATATGTAAGGATATAGGGGCTTTATTATCCCTGACAATGTTTAGATTTTTATACGTATGAGGTCCTACTAATCCCAAATAGCTAGGAGAAATTAAAAATGCAAACCAAACAAAAGTTCCAGTCTCAGGAGTTTAAACCACACGTTATTCAGTTTATAAGCCTAATATACCCTCCTCCATTGAGCACCCAGCAGTATTATAGCCTAAATATTGAGATTATAATTAACTGGGTACAAAACTATTTTTTTCTATCACACATAGATCATAAAACTTTAACAACTCATTACAATCAGTTGAGAAATAAAAACAGTACACTGCTTTTTTTTTTTTATAAAGAAAAACTGCAGCTCCTCTGTTTATTGTTATTTTACAGGCAAGTCTTGACCTCACCAAGATGGCGGAACAGCAGTGAGGCATCTATGTTTCTCTGTGTACACACCGCCCTCTGTCGGCGGGAGTCGCCTAAGACGGCTGTATTGTAAAATATAATAGTAGTTATTTTTAATGAGTTAACGGTTGTTTGTTGTATATTAATTTTGGGTACTGTTGCTGTGTGGGTTGTTTTACAACTCTCACTATTTAGAGCCTACCATTTGACCTCTCCAAGATGGCGCCGCCGCCGAGGTACGATCCAGCAGTGAGGCATCCTCTATATTTATACACTGCCCTCTGTCGGCGGGGAGGCGCACATGACGGCTGGATTGTACCGCTGCTCTGCCGTTTTTCCGTTTCTTTTAAAAATATCAAAGTAGTTATTTTTCCATGAGTTAACAGTTGTTTTATTGTGTACCAACTCTTTGTATTGTTGCTGTGTCGGCTGTTGTACAACTATCACAATTTGAATCCTACCGTCTTGACCTCTCCAAGATGGCGGCGCCACCGACGTGCGACCCAGCAGTCTGTTTTTATATCTGTACACTGCCCTCTGTCGGTGAGGAGTTGCTCGTGACGGCTGTATTGTACCGTTGTTCTGCCTTTGTCCCGTTTATTTTAATTTAAAAATATCACAGTAGTTATTTTTATGAGTTAGTGGTTGTTTTGCTGCGTATTAACTCCCGGTATGGTTGCTGTGTGGGTTGTTTTACAACTGTCACAGTCTGAATCCTACTTGTTGCGGGAAAAAACGCATTTAAAAATGATAGCGACAGTTGTTGTTGGGTAGATTGTTGCACTTTTAGTGGCATTCCCACACATGTCCCGAGGGTAATGTAGTTTTGCTACGGTTGTGTATCCCTGTGTGTGTCCCACAGAGCCGTCCTCTCTGCACTGCAGTCAGCGCCACTCGCACAGTTGGCGTAGGAAGGTCACGTTACAAAGTGGGTCGGCACTCGCAGCTGCTGCTGGAGAGAGGAGGACTGCGCAAAAACCACGGCCCGGATTTGTGCCTGCTTGACGTCATGGGGAGCCTCAGACTTCTCTGACAGGATCCAACAACGAGAAGCACCGGGGATGTGCGATCAACATCCAGCGGGCCGGGAGATGTCGACGAGCACACGGCTGTACTGAGCCGCATACTCACGGGAGATTTTCCGCTGTGACGGTGCGGCTGCGGCGCGCCATGAGCAGAGCGCCTGTCCGCTGTTAAAGGGCTGCTTTCTGCCTCAAAACGAGCTGTTGACCAGGGAGGGATAAGCAGCCGGAGGACTAATCCCCAGGACGGTCACACAGATTCACGGCGGGGCTTGGACCCGACAGAAATGGACAGGGCAGCGCGAACTGGATTACATGATAGGGAATAAAAGAGACGCAGCGAACAAAGCCAACCTCAAGTGTTATGCCCGTTAATCCGTGCGGTCTTTATTTGACTGGAAATGGGAGCTTTAACAAGCAGACAAAACATAGGCGTGGAAGAAGTGGACATTCCGTCCAGTTCGGTGTACCGTTATCCACCGAAATCTGGTAAGTCATCGACCAACAGGTCAGACCGGGGGTGGGTAACCGGTTCATGCTTTAAAGCTTTATGCAGATGATTTATTTGTGCTTTCATGGTGGGAATGGAAAGTGGACATCACCATCAAAGCCATCACCATCTTTACCTTGTAGCTGCAGGCCTGCAGAGCAGCTACCTGTGGAGGGAGGGGGGGGGGGGGGGGCATTTTCTGAGCAACTTAATTTCCCCTCAACAGATTCAACAGTATCTTCATGTTGATTTGTCACGTTTTTATCATGTTTTGTCACTGCAGCATTGTTGAATTTTCCATGGAGGGACACCAACAGCAACACAGGGACACGTCTACTTACATGCATTCAGAATATCCCCCGTCTACAAGTTATATATTCATTTATCTGCAGAGTGTCAGATACATAACTGGGATTGGCTCTTACCTTGGTGCATCTCTGAGCATGTGCTAGCAGGGAGCAGGACTGGATGGCATCATGACTAGCACAGTCTGTCTGTAAAATAAATAAGTCATGATGGATCCCAAGAGGATGAAAATGAAAAGACCGACATCACCATTAGCAGCAGAGGTTTTGTCTGTGTGAGTTATTGGTGTGTTTGGTGTAAATGAGGTTTTCTTAGATTGTAATAGGACTGCAAGCAATTATCCTTTAATTTGGAGATCATTTTTATGATTATAAATGTCAAAATAGTGAAAAACATGTCATTCACACTTCCCAGAGCTGAGGCTAGTGTCTTCAGAGTGCATAGAAAGAGTCCAAAAGCCAAAGATATAAAATTTACAGGATATAAAGCAGTGAAAAGCAGAACATCTTTACATTTTAGGAGCTGGAGAACATTTGGTATTTTATCTTTATGAATTATTAAATGATTAGATTTCTAAAAGTGTTCATCAATTTCATGTTTATTTAAAATTTGATTACCATGCAGTTAAATAAGCACTTATTTAAAGGAACAGTTTGTAGGATTTAGGGAAATTTAGTGGCATCAAATGGTGAGGATCGCAGATTGCAACCAGCTGAAACTACTCCCAGTTAGAATTCCTTCAGTGTTCATTGTTCAGGGCGTTTTTACCAGGAGCCAAATTATCCACAGAGGTCTGTTCCTCTGCAAAACAAACAGACCTAGTGATTTAAACCGTTAAAAACACAGAATAAAGCAGCTTCACGTCATAAATCAGTGTTTCTCCAATGCTGTTTGGCATGTCGGAGACGGGCTGCCAGCCCAGCCCCTGCTAATCTATGCTCACCTTTGTTCTCTGATAACTTAAGATCCAGATGTTCAGGAGGTTTTTACCTGGAGCTGAATTATTGACAGAGGCCTCCTCCTCTCCAAAGCAAACAGATGAGGTGATTAAAACTGGTAAAAACACTGAATGAAGCAGTTTCACGTTACAAATTAGTGTTTCTCTGATGCTGTTCAGCTCGTCGCAGACAGGCTGCTAGCCCAGTGCTTGTGAATGTGTGCTGATGTTTTTCTCTGATCCAGACATTCAGAAGTTTTTTTTACCAGGAGCTGAATTATCCACAGAGGTCTCTTCCTCCCCAAAACAAACTGATCAGATGATTTAAAGTGGTAAAAATACTGAATGAAGCAGTTATGCATAATGAATCAGTGTCGGAGATGGGCCACTAGCCTAGTTCCTGATAATCTGAGCTCACCTTTTTTCTCTGATAATTTAAGATCCAGGCATTCAGGAGATTCTTACTGGGAGCCAAAATAGTCCACAGAGGTCTCTTCCTCCAAAAGAAATGGAACTGGTGATTTAAATGGGTAAAACTCTGAATGAAGCAGTTTCACTTTTAAAAAATGGTTTTCTGACACATTCGCTGAGGGGCTGCCAACTATGGGGGCCAACACATAAAAGCGAATGGACCTATCTAGAGTCAGTGTTTGGTTTGTCCATTCTGGGCTACTGAACAAACATGGCAGTGCAACATGGAGATTTCCATAGACAAGGACCTGCTCCCTATGTAGATATAACCAGCTCATCTAAGGTAACGAACACACAAAGGTTCTTATTTTCAGGTGATTTTACACCAAAGAGAACATACTCATTATGCAATATTCCATTGCTGCCAACATATCCCCTTAAATCCTACATGCTGGACCTTTAAAGGTTCATGTTGATACTGGATATCAGGTATTTGGCGCCTGCATCAAAACATAACGTCACTCAAACTGTCCTTTGGACCTCAGGCTGACCTCTGTGTTTTGAATCTGTCTTGTTTTTGTTACTCTGTGTGACACTTTGACTGTATTCAGCTCCCCCACCAGGGTTTAGCAGTAATCCAATATCACCATCACAGAATCATATTGTGAAGAAACCCTGGTAATGCTTCTCAGTTCTGTCGTAAGAAAAGACATAAAGTAAATGAACATCTCTCAGAAAATGAGACCTGGAGCAGAGCTGGGGACTGGAAGTGGAGTTAATTATAGTCAAGTGTGATATGTTGGGCTTTTTCTCTGATGTAATAGTAATATCTTAGATGTATAAGGATGTTAGGTGCCGGAGGATGAATGAAAGAGAAGAAAAACTGCTGCCTCGTGGCTGCCATTAGCGCTCCTCTCCCCGAAATGTAGCTGAATTAGTTACAAGCTGGATGAATTTGTGATATAACAGTCCTGGTTGCAGCCTGGTGGTGGTGGGAGGGGAGGGGAGGAAGGTGGTGGCGATGGCTGCTGGTGAAACCGATCTGTCAGCCCCAGTTCCTGTTTCTGGGATCTGGTGACAAAGCCTCGGCCAAGCTCGCCTCTCCCACCTGCTGTAAATAATAACAAGGTGACAAAGACAAGAGAGGGCGAGAGAGAAGAGCGTCATCATTGTGGCTTTTTTTAGTTCATGATTCGTCGTGTTCTGAATATTTTTTTCTACAGTGTGAATGGCTGTAACATCAGCGCATCCTTCCTCTTCTCCGGCACTAATAAGTGTGAAAGATGCCAGACGAGATGTCCTTCCAGCTGATACGTGACTTGCCCATCCAACATGTATTTAAAGACTCCGAACCGCTATTACGGTCTTATGATATTAGCTCACCCTGTGATTAAAAGGCACAACGGCTATTTAGTTTTGTTGTCATCGACCCAAAGTCATGGTAAACAGCTGCAGCACGCCCAATAACAACCCAGCTCCAGTCAGAACGCCTTCACAGGTGCTTTTCAGGGATTCGTTTGAAAAACAACTTTTCATGTGCAGTTGTACCTGACACCAGATGATTCCAGGATGTGAAGCTCGAGCAGTTTGAGAGTTACTGGAGGTGTCTGTGGATAACGGCGCCAGCCAAATGGTTCAATTATTCAAGGGAAATATTAATATTTCAGTCCAGTGAAGGGTGCAATGGGTAGAATTTGCAACTGGCAAAGGAATGACGGCATAAAATTTCTAGTCTTTTTGTCGGTTATTGAGCACTAAAATCTTATTTTGTCAGGGTTGGATGCAGTTTCCATTTATTGAGCATGAGTCTGATAGTAAGCCTGTGTCGCCATTTTGTTTTTGCTTCACTAATTGAATAGCTGAAAAAAAAAAAAATCAGTGCTTAAATATTTCCATATATCCGTTTTCATCCACTTATCCAGGGCCGGGTCGCGGGGCAGCACCCCAGATGTCCCTCTTAAATATTTACTGTAATTAAGTCTCCTAATCTTGACACTATAGATCTGCCTTATTTTTTCTTGTTTCAAGCTGCTGTCACATTAATTTAATAAGACAGAATTTTTATTTGTGCAAGAAAAAAATTATGTTAACTTCACAATTTTTCTTGCAACGCTCAAAAAGTTTTGGGATTTCAATTCCTTTTTCCCCCTCAAAACAGCTCATTAACCTAATGTGAAGAATATATAAATGAAATTCCTTCCTTCTCCCATTTTGCAGGTGGGCAGTGGGCACCATAGCCTTGTTTCCACCGAGCAGTACGGTACAGTTCAGTTCAGTATACTTTTTTTCTGCTTCCACTGTGAAAAGTTGTGGATGGTACCAATGGAACCGTTCCGTACCGTCCCCATGTTTGGTCCCCCCTCTGTTGGGGTACCTAGCACACAGATCTGGTACTAAAAGGTGGAGCTGTGAACACTGCAGTCTGATTGGTCAATAGAGGACGGTCACTCTGCTCAGGGCTGAGTTGTGGCTGGTTTTGAGGCTCATGTAACCACTGTTCATACTGTGGAGAGTTTTATTAGTAAACTGTAACTATAAAATGAAAGGATGTTTTGCTGCCTCTCACAGCAGCTGGAGTCTGAGAACAAAATAACTTAATTCACTGGGCCGACTGCTGGTGACTTTTAAAGTGGAACGTTGACTTGTAATGTTACTCAATGCATGAGGTGACGACGTGAATCCATCAGCACACCTTAAATTTCACTGTGACAACTTTGACCATCACTTTAGTTTTTATATGACATACACTTTTAGTAATGAGTGGATCCTAAAGTGTTTATATATTAGTTTTGACCAGGTTATGTGAACTGCATATATTCTAATCCTCACTCGGATAAAAGAAAAAAAGTGTCACAGAGCGTTGTTCCTGTGGGCTCCAGCAACACTAAACCCCTGAGCTTGCCTGAGAAGGACTAAATGCACAAACCCACTATTTTTAAATATCCCATGGAGAGAGACTCTCACTGCAGCCTGTTTTATTTTGTTCTGAAAATATCGGTGTGCAGCCTCGTTCTGTGGACGATAAACGAGGGGCAGACTGATAATGGAGGAAATACAGTGAGTGCTGGACGGAGCAGTGAGTGACGACAGCCCCGCCCATATTAAGAGTACTGTTTGTGATGGAAACACTAGGGTCTAGATACCATGTCTGAAGGGTTACTGTTGGTTCCAAAGGTACCATACTGAAAGTGTTTGGTGGAAACAGGGGCTAAAGTTTTACAGTGGGAAAAAAAGCGTACCGAACTGGACTGAACCGTACCGTACTGCCACTAATATACATTACCGTCAACCAGCTAGCTAGCTAGGTAACTTAGCAATGGTCTACACACAAAGACCTTGTCCTGGAGTTGTTGCTGCACCAGTTCATCCCCTAAAACTACTAAAACATTGTTTCACCCAACTAACAAAGAACTTTTCTATCAAATGAAGGCCAGTCTACATCAACAGCTACTAACGGTTACAACCTAATACCATATTTAAAATCACATGAGCCAAAAATTGACATGCAATATGTGGATTAATGAAAAGTTAATTGTCATGAACTGAATATGTACTATCGTCGCCATGTTTCTGCATATATGATGTCAACTCTCAAATTGACAAACATGTAATTCATGGTACAATTCAAATGGGATAAAGGAACAACTTGTCTTTTGCTATCATCTACTGTACTTTTTTTCCGAAATAAGGCGGTGGTCCAACAGAAGGGGAGGGATTTCACCTCTCCAAGCGCAGCAATTTAAAGCACCAAATTATTTACCACTGCAATAGCAGAGCCACGTTGTGCTCACCACAAAGGTCTTTGGCATTAATGTTTTTCAGATGATGTGACATACTTTGAGTTATCTGTGTTTAAAAGTGAGTGTCTGTGTGCTTGTGCAGGAAGTTACTTCGCCAGCCATTTCATCATGGGGGGAGAGAAGTTTGACTCCACACATCCAGAGGGCTACCTGTTTGGGGAAAACACAGACCTTAACTTCCTGGGGACCAGACCTGTGGCGGTAGGTGTTCTCACACAACTAACAGCTGTATTAAATGTTAGAACTCCCAACAGTCTCACCATAAGTTTGACACAGTGGCTATAACGGTTCTTCGAGTTTACCCAATTTTTTAGAAATTTTAGCTATTCAGATTTGTTTTTTTTTGTTTTTTTTTTAATTTGTCCATTTTAAGGGAGACTTCTCGCTTGCCTAGCCCATGTTTTTGTCAGAAGATTCCAAGGTGAAGAATTAACTTCTAGTCTCATAATTAAACAAAACTGCAGATTAAAAGTTATAAAAGTATGAATACACAAAGGGGAAGACAAAGAAAGGATCTCAGCCTGCAGCTAACAAGTATTCACAAAGTCACAAACGACCTTCTCCTCTCCTCTGATGCCGGAAAACTCTACATACTCATCCTACTTGACCTGAACGCAGCATTTGACACCATCAGCCATTCCGTCCTTCTCTCCCACCTTGAAACCACTCTCAGCATCACCGGCACTGCTCTCTCCTGACTCAAATCCTACCTCTCCGACAGATATCAGTTCATCAACATAAATAATAGCAAACCCCCCTCTGCTCCCCTCTGCCAAGGTGTTCCCCTTGGTTCAGTTCTCGGCCCCCTCCTCTTCATCCTGTACATTCTCCCTCTCGGTCAAATAATACGCCATCATGGACTTCAGTTTCACTGCTTTGCCAATGACATTCAGCTCCACATCTCCACCAAAGCCATCACGCCTGCCACTCGCTCCACCCTCACTAAATAAAATAAAAATAAAATCCTTGCTGCAAACCAACTTCCTCAAACTTAACTGTGACAAATCAGAAGTCATCATCATTGGTCCCAAATCTCTCATCAAATCCACCCAATGCACCCATAACTGTCTTTGAGTATCCTGAAAAACGTAATATAAATCCAATGTATTATTATTATTTATTATTATGTTTTCTTTTTTGATAAGTGTTTGTGTCAGAAAATAGTGAAAAGTATCAAACAGCCCAACATGACATCTTGAAAATTGCTTGTTTTATTCAGCTAGCTGACCAAAACCAAAGATAATCATTAATAGAAAAAAAATTCACATTTGAGAAGAAAAATACAGCTTTTTTTTCGTATTTCGGCTTGACAGATGACTTGATTGTCAAATTGTGAATCAACTAACAGATCTCTTGACCCAAAGGTGTAGCCGTCTCCTCGTCATTAAATCATGAAACAGAAGTTGATAACATTTCAGCAGGTGTGACTCCTGCAGTGTCAATTAACAGGCTTTCAAGCTGCCACTGATTTAAATGTATTTCAAAGACTCATCCTGTCAAACTAATTAAAAGTGAAATGACAGTCTGCCGGCTCCCCTTGCACAGAGAGGCTGATAAGCGGTGGCTCCTCCGAAGGGTTCGTTCAACCTAATCATGAACCTGAAGGTCAAACTAATGAGAGCTGCAAATCAAAAAGAGCTCAAGTCCGCAGAGGAAAGAGAGAATTTGTCACAGACTGAAAGCCTTGAAGGGAGCTGAAGACGTCGACTAAGTGAAGCTGATACGGAGAGACTCGGCTCCATCCCTGTGTGTGCTAATCTCAGCTGCAGTGCTGTTTTTGTCTAGACTGGGGCTAAAATTAGGAGTGCAGTTTTTCTCCCGATTATGTGGGTGTTTATAATCCTCCTGTGGGCACAGGATGCAGCTGGTGATTTTTTTTTTCTTCTTGTATGTGTGTCTGAAGCTTTACCAGCATTATATAATGGTGGTTTCTAAGCAGATGGTGCCGTGGAATCATAAAACCAACCGCAGTTGTTGTGTTCTCTCAGTCTCCTGCACCGCTCTACAAATATGATAATGGACGGGGCTATATTTAGAGGTTTCAGAAACTCCTGCCCAAAGCACAGATACAGTCAAAATGGATTTTTAGCCATGCTCGCAGCACTGACGGTTGGTCAGTCCTCCTCTCTGGTCTGGACTGATATATCTCATCAACTATTGGATGGACTGTCATGAAATTTTGCACAGACATTAATGATCCTAGAGAGGATGAATCCTACTGACTTGGATGATCCCTCGACTTTACTAACAATAAGGTTAACATTTGGGGTTTTTAGTGAAAGGTCTCAATTTAGTACATGTAACCAGTGGACTCTAGTGTTGTCTGCGTTGTGTTGATATAAAGAGGCCCAGACCGTGGATATCTTAGGAGGCGATTTCCATTTATTCCTGACAACTCTGACAGCACGAGGTAAAAACAAAATTCTCTGTCAATTACGACCATATAACTCCAGCCCCCTCACACTATAGGACCACTACAAAGTCCCTTCCTCATGCCATCTTTGCATTTTTACACGTTTAAACAACGGCAGCATCATTTTGCGCCGGTGTGTGATTTTAGACAGCATCCCGGCATCACGTAAGCAGGAAAACAGGAGGCGTGAGGATCGTGACTCTAAATACTAATACTACTAAATGAACTGTGGGGATGAGGAGGGTATGTCTTGCGCATTTTGGTGGGAAAGGTTAAAAGAGTTAATTGTTCAAGTTTTGAAATATAACTTTATCTTAATTCCTTTATGAAGGTGTTTGTTAAGACGTCAGCATTTTGACATATTAGCAAGATGTGGACAAAAAATAGCTAACAAATGTTGGTCCGCTAATGTGCTGTTAAAGATTAGCTTGTTTTGAATAGAGATTTTTGTTTTTTGTTATGAAATAACTGCGCCAGTTTTTTTGCTAAGGGGAAAGAAGTTAAAAAAACACCAGAATATCAGTTTTTTTGATTTCTAGATTTTGTCAAACTTGCTTAGCATCAGCATATTAGCATGTTGGTCATTGTTAGCTTATTAGCATGCTGTTGTTTGCATTTAACTCAAAACACAGCCTCGCAGAGACGCTAGCATAGAAAAACAGCTACATTATACGTGCTAATTTTGGTGTTAAAAGGTAAAAGGAGTGATTTGTTTAAGTATTAAAATATAACTTAATTTTAACTCTTTTATAAAGACGTTTGTGAAGGCGTCAGCATTTTAAAATTAGCAGGGTGTGGAAAAACAGATTTCATGCTAAAAAACATTGGCTAGCTAATGTGCTGTTAAAGATTAGCTTGTTTTAAGTGGTGACTTTAATGTGTTGTCAGTGAAGTAATCATACCAATTTATTTGCTAGCATGGCTGACACTCTTAGTACAAAGATATCATTATTGAAATGGTCATGTAAATTCTGAGAAAAATGCCCACGGTTATTTGAGAACAGTCTTTTTATTTAAGTCTGAGTATGTCTGAGGAAGTACAGACTCTCGCTCTGATGTTTCTTGATTTATAATACCTTACAAGACCCACAGTGTTGCCTGTGAGTTTCTTAATGAATGGCTCTTTTCAGCATCTGTTACTCCGTGTGTGTTTGCTTGTGTAGTTTACAGGCGTGACTCCCGCTGAGCCCAGATGTGTTAAAGTACTGAATACGGTGCCATTCACTGCCACACAAACACACTTATATATACACACACACGCGCGGACAGATGAGGGGTTGTAGTGTGGAGGTATCTGACCACATCCTGCATGTTTCTCCTCCAGTGATCCTCAAACCACCTCAGCTCTCCCCTCATGCTCAGTCAGCAACTTCAGGCTTCAAACACACAACGAGAGCGCTGAGAAGTGGCCCTTATTTTGGGTCAAGTTTAAAGGTTATGTGTCAGATTGACATCAGGGTTTTTTAATGATCAGGTTGGTCACGACAGAAAGTATTTCACATTCTTATCTGTGACTTGATGCTATCAAAATTCTCCTGATGTGGTAAACGTCACCCATCTGGTCCTTGAAATAAAGACAGGCACTGTTTGACCCTGGACTTTTTACACTCCTGTGGTCCCTGCGTGTGCAGAAATGTGCCTAAACGCTGTCTGAAGTGTCAGCCTCGTCCCTGGAAAGACACAATCTGAGCAAATTTTTTTGCTCCGGCTCAGCACTTGTCAGCACGGATCTCGCTGGTGCTGACCAACCGAAACACTTGTGTTAAGGTTAAACCGGGAGCAGCCGCGGTCATTGTGTAACCCTGAATTCCCTGTGGTGAAGAGAGGAATGCTGGGGCGGTTTGAGGGAAGATGAATGCTACTGCTTTCCAGTCTCATAACATGTATTTCACATCTATAATTTGTTTGCTTTTTGTTTGCAGTTCCCGTACGCAGCCCCTCCACCTCAGGAACCAGTAAAGACGTTACGAAGCCTTATAAACATCCGCAAGGACACGCTGCGGCTCGTACGGTACGCACCTCAATCCGCCTAAACACATACGTAACCTCTCACTGCACCACTGAGGTCTAATTTAATGTCCACTGGGCTATTTTTAGACAGCAAGCCACAACAGCTAATTTAAGGCATAGTGTCATATCATTCATGTTTTTACTTGTAGGTCAAGCTTTTACTGTCTTCAGACGCATTCATGAAAAAAAAAACAATTAAGTTTAACAATATAACATCGAATTAAAAAATACAAGATTAACACGAAAGCACAACAGTCACATACACAGAAAATAATGCTATGAGAAAATTAAATGTAAATTTCACCAGAATATGTTTCTCACATGCTTACAGTGTATAACAGTGTTTTTTAATTATCATTAATATGATTATTTGTCCCCCTCACAATTTTAATTGTCTTTGTTTTGTCTTTTTTAAAATATTTTAATCCATTTTAAAAATCTGTGAAATCTATTTTTAGTCTAGTTTAGTTATTATTATTTTTTATTTATTTTTTTAAATCGAATTTATTCTATTTTTAATCTATTTTAATCTCTTTTTTTTTAACGGTCTATATTTGTTCTGTCTTGTCAGTCATCTTTAAAGCACCTTGAACTGCACTAACGTGTATGAAATGTGCTATACTAATAAAATTTGATTGATTCATTCATAAAAAAAACATAAAAAGTAATTCAAGAAATTGACTTTACATACGTTCATTACATGACTTCAAACAATAAATGAATCCGCCCTTTGCAGATCTTTCCTGTACGATTACTGAGGCTTTTAACACTCTGTAATTTGGTTTCATGCCTGTTTTATAACTGCAGTAGATGGAGTTTGGATCCTGCTCAGATTTTTGTTCTCCACTTTCAAACCGCGCTCACCTCCTTTCCTCACATGTAGGTGCAGCGAGGACCTGAAGCTGCCAGGTGACGAGGCGGCAGGGAAGAACAGGGCCTGCTACAACGTAGAGTTCACCTTCGATGCCGACACGCAGGTGGCCATAACCATCTATTACCAGGCCATAGAGGAGTTTCACAATGGAGTGCCAGTGTGAGTACAAACATGTTTACTAGGGAACTAATAGGTATTGGCTGAAATCCACTACCCAGTCACTTTGTTCAATATCTATATTTTTAATTTCACTGATCACTACACGTCTAGTTTCAGTCAGTAGAATTTGCCTGTTATAGTGTGTCTGTGTCGACTCAGATGTCTTCAGATTGAAGCTTTATTAATGCGCCTGCTGATTTATTGCTGAACGCTTAACGGTAGACTCGCCACTACGGGTGTGCCATATCATCTCGTTCATGATGATACTCTTTTAGTGACTTACCGCTCAGAGGGAACTCATTCAGCGGCTCCTCTGGCAGCAGCACAGCATCTCTCCCTCTCCTCTCTCGATGAGTCGTGTCATCAAGTGATTTTGTCATAAACCTTTGGTAATGTAAACCTACGTGACGCTCACAGCTCGACTAAAAGCTCCATATATGTGAGTGTGTGATAGTTGTGGTATCATAACAGCCTGTCACAGGTTACAGCGTGATGATTAGAGGAGAAATGGTAGAACATAAAGGTCCATAAAAGGCCATATCGCCCACACCTAACTTCTACTCAAATGTTGAAAAGGTAAAATCTGTGACCTCTGTACAGGGTTCCTACACAAGTATGGAAAAGATGGAAATGAATTTGATCAATTTCCAGGTATTAAAAAGTATGGAAAATGAAAAATAAAGTATGGAAAAATATTTATGTTTCCAGACTATTACCACTGTTCTAAAATACTGTTTTCTAAAATACAAAATTAGATATTTCCAAAAATAATTTAATCAATCCGGATCGTGTTTTATGCCGGGCCAAGCACAGTTTGTGTGAGAGCAAACGTCTCAGAAAACATACCGCCCCTTTTACAAGAAGACGAGTTTCACGTGGTTCACAATGGGTGGATGCAAGTTTTTGGATGGATGGCTTGACAGTACCGTATATAAATACTGGTTGGCCAAGGATTCCCAATTCACACACAGAGCTAGATGCAAGCTTTGTGTGAAATTGTTTGACATCGCCAACATGGGGGAGAAGGCGATTCTGAGCCACACGAAAGGAAAAAAAACACAGACGTCTCGTTACTGCATCGCTTGCACCCAGAGTCCCAACCTTTTTGCCTCAGCTCAGACATTGAACTTACCTGAGTTTCTATTTGCATGCCATTATGGTACTTGGCTACAATCGCCTATTAAGAATAATTAAATATGATATGAAATATGATACACTGATATATTTACTCAGATGTAGCATATTCTCTGAAAATAAAAAACGCAGAGAAGTCTGGAAATCAGGGTTTGGTAAAGTATGGAATTTTGAAATTCCAAATGTGTAGGAACCCTGTCTGTACAAATGGACAATTTAGAAACTTTCAGGATTTAGTAGATAATTATGGTCTATTAAACCTAGAATTCTACTGTTTTTTTTTACAATTTAGACACAAAAATAATTGATTCAAAGTATCTGTGTATCTCCTGCAGTTACCTGCCTCAGGACAGCTCTCTGCAGTCTGAGACGGTGCACTTCAAGCGAGGAGTGTGCCAGCAGTTCTGTCTGCCCTCACACACTGTCAACCTCAGCGAGTGGGCTGACGAGGAGGTAGGCAGCTCCTGTCTGTACACTGAATACTGAAACACACGTCTGTGCGAGGCTGCAGCGAAACCATTTTATACACAAGGTCAGATAGATATCTGCTCCGTCTGTCTCCTCAGCTGCTGTTTGATATGGACAAAGAGGTTTTCCCCATGGTGGTGCAGGCTGTCGTGGACGAGGGGGAAGGTGAGTGTTTATCATACTGATGGTCTGAGGTGGAAGAGGAGCTGCAGAATTTTAAGCCGCTGTCCGCTGTGTTTTGTCTCTGCAGAACATTTGGGCCACTCTCACATACTGCTGGCTACGTTTGAAAAGGTAAATAAGATGCTGCTTATCAGAGAAGCTATCAGACACTGCCAGGGTTCTCAGATGGAGCTCAAACAATCAGTTTATCAAAGAGATTCTTTTCTGTACCTATTTTTTTTTATAACTGATCAATTGTTTGAGTCACCAAATATCCGCAGCTTCTAAAAGTGGGTATATTCTCCTTCTTTGCTTCTCATGACTGTACGTTTGATATCTTTGTGGTTTTTATAACTGACAACAGTGCGAAGACAAACACCGCTGTGTGGTTATAAAACGATTCTTACCTTGGAAACAGGGGTGTAGTGATATGTATGTAAAGATTAGGGGGATTTAGTGGTGTGTAGAGGTGAGGATTGAAGGTGAAATGTCTCCCTGTTAGAATTCCTTCAGTGTTGTTCAGGAGGATTTTAACCGGGAGCCAAACTATCCGAGGTCTCTTCCTCCCCGAAACAGGTGAGGTAACTTCAGGGTTAGCTCTGGGTTTTCAGTGCTATGAAGCTGGTGCTCTTTTTACCGGGATAAATCACCGTGGTAACTGATGCTGAACAGCTAATCTGGACTGTTAACCAGACAGCTATCGCAAGATTACTTTCAAAGTGAAGAAAAGTTAAAAAATGTGATGATTGTCAGGCAGGTTCTGCAGTTTTCTGTGATTTCTAGGCAGATGTATGGACTCTGATCTCTGTTCAAGGCTAACCTGATGCTACAGAGAATGATTAAAAACCAAAAAAATGTTGGTGTAGTAAAACATCTCCATATCTGGGCGCTCAGCAAAGGCAAAACTGCTGTCTGACATGTGACTAACATGTAAAAACATCAGAAGTCCTCCACACAGCATTAAAGTGCAGATGAGTGTCCGTCAGATGCGGTACAGAAGAATGAAACATGAACTGATTCCTGCACAAAGCTTTGAATGACTTAGACAAAATAATAAACAGCTGTTTCTTTCGTTGGCAGCACATGGACGGGAGCTACTGCGTGAAGCCTCTGAAGCAGAAACAAGTGGTAAATACACCTGCTTTTCTTCCTTCATCCTTTTGTGTCACATTTTTATTTAATGTGTTAAAAAGACAAAGAGACGCCAAAGCTTTATTTCCCTCTTGAACATTAAGCCTGAACCCACAAGACCTGTAGCTTTTGTTCTTCACTGTGTTCCTTTTCCCAGGTGGATGGAGTGAGTTATCTGCTGCAGGAGATCTACGGGATCGAGAACAAATACAACAGCCAAGAATCAAAGGTAGAAATCACACCAGGGGTTTTTCTGTCTCATTGTCTGAGTGTGTCAGAAGAAGCGACGTGGATGACTCTTTCTTCCTAACATTTAACTGTTTTTATCTCCAGGTTGCCGACGACGAGATCAGCGATAACAGTGCAGAGTGTGTGGTGTGTTTGTCGGACGTGCGAGACACGCTCATCCTGCCGTGCAGACACCTGTGTCTCTGCAACGCCTGTGCAGACACTCTGCGCTACCAGGCCAACTGCTGCCCCATCTGCAGACTGCGTGAGTTCCCACCGACCATCAAGAACTTCTTTCCAAAATGAGAAAAGATCGTTAATATTGATAAAAGCTGCCTCCAAAGCAGCAAGAGGGTTCCTGGTTTTAACCGAGTTTGCATGTTCCCCCCATGTCAGCGTGGGTTTTCTCCAGGTACTCCAGCTTCCTCCCACAGTCCAAAGACATGCAGGTTAATTGGTGACTCTAAATTGTCCGTAGGTGTGAATGTGAGTGTGAATGGTTGCCTGTCTCTATGTGTCAGCCCTGTGATAGTCTGGTGACCTGTCCAGGGTGAACCAAGCCTCTCACCCTATGTCATCTGGGATAGGCTCCAGGCCCCCTGTGACCACTAACAGGATAAGCAGTTACAGAAAATGAATGAATGAATGCCTCCAAAGCACTCCCAGTTAATGCTCCCTTTAACTACGGTTCTAGCGGATCCCTAAACAATGCATTGAGATCTTTAATCCAAAAGTGAGTTCTTAATAGGTGTTAAAATGTCTTAAATCAATCTTTTAAAAGTCTTAAAGATGCTAAGACATGGCGGTTTTATGAATATTTTTCTGACATTGAATTGTAAAATTGATTAAAATTGAAAAAATTAAAGAATTTCTTTTCAAAATGAGAAAAGAATGTTAAAATTGATCAAAGCTGCCTCCACCACCGTTATTACTCCCTTAGACATTTAACATTTTTACTTTATCACAGTAAAAAAGTACAGTATTTCAAGCCTAATTTGGTACAGAGGAATCAAATGCGACTTAGGTGTGTGTCATTCAAAAATATCTTTTTCAACATGCAGACATTTTTGCCAAGCATGAATCACTGTTACAGCTTTTTAGACTCAGCGGGACCAAAAAGATACGCATGTGTTTGCACTCAAATACGCCTGTTTTTTTTTTTTGTTTGTTTGTTTTTTTTACATCTGGAACCTCCCGTCTACAACGGGCTTGAAACGCACCCTTGTTGAGGACTTGGCTCAGATTCCGGAGTTACTCTCTTATCCTGAAGCCTCCTTAAAGGGATAGTGCACCCAACATGAAAATTCAGCCATTATCTACTCACCCATATGCCGAGGGAGGCTCAGGTGAAGTTTCAGAGTCCTCACAACACTTGCGGAGATCCCAGGGGAGAGGGGGTAGCAACACAACTCCACCTAATAGAGGCTTAAGGCGCCCCAGATTAAAAAATCCAAAAACACAAAATTGAAACCACAAAATATCTCCATACTGCTCGTCTGTAGTGATCCAAGTGTCCTGAAGCCCCGACATAAAAAGTTGTTTGGAAAAACGTCATTTGAGCTGTTTTTAGCCTCACTGTAGCCTGCAGCTCTAACTGCCTCTCTGTGCGTGTGAAACCAGCAAAAGCCCGTGAAGACACATGAACGCGGTGCACAGATCTCATGGTCTCACTTAAGTGTGCACACGTGAGTGCGGTGCACAGAGAGGCAGTCAGAGCTGCAGGCTACAATGAGGCTAAAAACAGAGTTCAAATGACATTTTTCCAAACAACTTTTAATGTCGGGGCTTCAGGACACTTGGATCACTACGGACGAGCAGTATGGAGATACTTTGCGGTTTCAATTATGTGTTTTTGGACGTTTGAATCTGGGGCGCCGTAAGCCTTCATTAGGTGGAGTTGTGTTGCTAGCCCCATCTCTGCAAGGGATGTGAGGACTCTAAAACATCACCTGAGCCTCCATCGGCATATGGGTGAGTAGATAATGGGTGAATTTTCATGTTTGGGTGCACTATCCCTTTAAGGAATCTGATCCCGTTTGATTCGGCAGTGGGAACCTCTTGTGACCACATGCCTTCGCTAACGTCGACCCCAGCAGGATTCAAACCCTGGACCTTCCACATGAGAGATGAGTGCTCTAACCACTATATTGCCTGCGACATGCCCAAAAAAATCCTCATCACTTCCTCACTTGTATATAGAAAACTTCAAAGTTCATAAGCTTCAATTTGAGTCCAAGATCTTGAAAATTATAAGACAAAGAAACTATGCAATTCTCAACGTGGTGAAACACACTGATAGTTTGTTTTCCTAACATGAACATTGCTTTGGATGTTAACTAAATCTTCTGTCTCATCCTGACCTGAATACATCTGTTTTCCTCCTAAAGTGTAAATGTCACTGTCAGTGCAAATTATTTTAGAACCACAGCTTATTTAAATCTCTTTTATTCACCATGTTGTTCTTAAAGCATTCAGAGCTCTGCTGCAGATCCGAGCCATGAGGAAGAAACTCAGTCCTCTCTCACCCACCAGCTTTAACCCCGTCATCACTTCACAGACCTCAGACTCAGAGGAACACTCGGTGAGACAGAGTCGACACACACACAAGAAAAAAACAAACGTTGAATAGATATAAAATAATTATCAGTCTCAGTAAACTCACCAGTGTCCTCTCCTGGGTTGCAGGCGTCGGAGCACATCCCTCCAGGCTACGAGGTGGTGTCGCTCCTGGAGGCGCTGAACGGCCCCCTCAACACCTCCGTGGTGAATCCTCCCCCTCTCCACTCCGGCCCCAGCCACGTCTCCGGAGCACTTCCCCCGTACAGCAGCGAGCCACACCCGGCACCAGCCCGCTCCCTCTCCCCTCTAGACCACTCCAACTCCAGTCAGGGACTCAAACTCAAGAAGAGTGGTTCCAAGTGAGTAACAGAGACAGTCGAAAATAGATTTGTTCATTTTAAATGTTAACGTCACTGCCACGAATTTCAAATTTCCCTTTTTTTGTATTATTGTTTTTTATACATCTGGTTTTAGACATTAATTAACTGGCTTTTGTTTGAACCATGAACAGTACTCGTCATTATAACCACATCCTGAGATCATATGTTGTCTGGTCGTGTTGTTTCAGTTCAGGTACACGTGCATCAAACCCTCTCCCGTTATTTCTGTCTAAACCTCGTCCGTTATGTTTACGTCAGGTCACTTTCCCAGAATTCCTCTGTGCTTCCCGAGGAGGAGGATGAGAAGTCTTGCAGTGAATCGGAGGCCTGTCGCCACAAACTCGTCGTGGACCAGCAGGAGGTGTGTGTGTGTGTGTGTGTGTGTGTGTGTGTGTGACACAGAGACAGACACTGCGTATGTGTGTCCGTCTGTTTGTGTGTTTGTGTTTGGAGGATGGTGTGGTGTTGTGAGCTCCTCTCATACCGCTGCTCCTGTTGTTTTACAGAACGGAGTGACTCCAGACAGCGAGAACCTGACTCTGTCCTCGTCTGGAGCCATCGACCAGTCGTCCTGCACGGGAACACCGCTCTCCTCCACCATCACCTCCCCTGAAGGTACACACACACACATAATCACACATACGCACACACACGTTTGTCTTTATATACTCACGGTAAACCTAGGGTAGATGGGGGATGCATGCCAGCCCACACACACTCACACACACACACACACACACACACACATACACAGAGCCAAACCTAAACTGACAAAAATTCAACGTAGCACTGAAAACAATGAATGTTGTTATTTCCTAAATGCAGAATATGTGTTTATTGTTTATTTCTTCATGCTCTATGTTGTATGTACTGTAATAGATGCTCATAATGTGTTAAGACTCTTTCAGACACGCGTCTTGTCACATAAATGAGATTTTACATGTCGGTCTCATGTCTTCACTTTTATGTAAAAACCTCAACAGCAGTCTCAAAAAACAGTATCTCCGGTCAGTCTGCACTTTAATGAATAATAGAACAAACTCAGTTGTCTTTACTTAAATATACACTCAGCGTCCACTTTATTAGGTACACCTTGCTAGTACCAGGTGGGACCCCTTTTTCCTTCAGAGTTGCCTTAATTCTTGGTGGCATAGATTCAACAAGGTGCTGAAACATTCCTCAGACATTTTGCTCCATATTGACATGATAACATCACACAGTTGCTGCAGATTTGTCGGCTGCACATCCATGATGAGAAACTCATCCCAAACACACCCCAAAGGTGCTCTATTGGACTGAGTTCTGGTGACTGTGGAGGACATTGGAGTACAGTGAACTCATTGTCATGTTCAAGAAACCAGTTTGAGATGATGTGAGCTTTGTGACATGGTGCGTTATCCTGCTGGAAGTAGCCATCAGAAGATGGGTACACTGTGGTCATAAAGGGATGGACACGGTCAGCAACAATACTCAGGTAGGCTGTGGTGTTTAAACCATGCTCAGTTGGTACTAAGGGGCCCAAAGTGTGCCAAGAAAATATCCCCCACACCATTACACCACCAGCAGCAGCCTGAACCGTTGATACAAGGCAGGATGGATCCATGCTTTCATGTTGTTTACACCAGATTCTGAGCCTACCATCTGAATGTGGCAGCAGAAATCCAGACTCATCAGACCAGGCAACGTTTTTCCAATCTTCTATTGTCCAGTTTTGGTGAGCCTGTGTGAACTGTAGCCTCAGTTTCCTGTTGTTAGCCGACAGGAGTGGCACCTGGTGTGGTCTTCTGCTGCTGTAGCCCATCTGCTTCAAGGTTGGACGTGTTGTTGCTTCAGAGATGGTCTTCTGCAGACTTTGGTTGTAACCAGTGGTTATTTGAGTTACTGTTGCCTTTCTGTCATCTTGAACCAGTCTGGCCATTCTCCTCTGACCTCTGGCATCAACAAGACATTTTGGCTCACTGGATATTTTCTCTTTGTGGGACCATCCTCTGTAAACCCTAGAGATGGTTGTGTGTAAAAATCCCAGTAAATACCCAGACCAGCCCATCTGGCACCAACAACCATGCCACGTTCAAAGACACTTAAATCACCTCTCTTCCTTATTCTGATGCTCCGTTTGAACTTCAGCAGGTCATCTTGACCACCACCAGAGACTTCACACATAAAGCACGCCAAGGGTGAAGGACTTAAAGATATCTCTGAGGTTAATAACCGTGAAAACAACATTTCCGTGTCACTTTCAGCACGGCACGAGTCTGAATTTAATGCCATCAGATTATAGTAAAGGCAGCTCAAGGAGAGCGAAATGAAATCTTGTTCTGCTCTCCAACATCAATATATTCATCTTAACCTCTTATGTACAGATGATAAACACAAGAACACAAGAGATAAACTGTGGCATCCTGAATGTTTTATGAACAGCCCCGGACTTCTCAGACTCTTTTAGTGACTTACCGCTCAGAGGGAACTCATTCAGCGGCTCCTCTGGCAGCAGCACAGCGTCTCTCCCTCTCCTCTCTCGCCGTGTCAACAAAGCTTTAAAGATAACAATAAAAGTTTTCTTCTGCAATATATGTTTTCTGTTGGCGGTAATTCTGTGAGTAGGGATCGCTTTTTTTATTTAAAAATCTCACTGGGCAACCAAAGACAAAAAAAGTCCCCCGACTCCGAGCCCGACCGTGATGTGTGTCTCCGTCTGTCTGTCAGACCCAGTGAGCTGCAGCCTGGTCCAGTCAGTGATGTCCATGGCCTCGTCCCACTCGCAGCACTCCCACATCAGCACTGACACCATGTCCTCCATGTCAGGGTCCTACCTGGCCGGGGCCGAGGGCGAGCCCGGGGGGGACGAGGGGGAAGATGCTGAGGGCGAGGAGAACCAGGACGCCCCCATGGAGAGCCGAGGACCGTCGCAGCAGTACGGGGTGAGGAGTCCAGGGGTGGATGGATGGAGGGTACATCTGGTAAATCTTTGTCTCCTCATTGGATTGTCTCCCTTTGTGTCTTTACTTTGGTTCAGGAGTTTTCCCAGGAGCCAAAGGAACAAAACTACTCAGTGGCTGTAGAGGAGCAGGATTCAGAGGTGAGAGCAGGTGCTGATTCATGCTCATTTCATGTTTTCATCTAATTCTTATTAAGTTTTACGAGTTTGGTTTTTTTTCCTCAGGGAAACGATGTCACTGAAGAGGACTGCTCCTCGCCGTCCAACGGGAAAGGTAACTATGGTGACCATCCCTCACCTTTCTCCCCTGACCTCTCACCTCCCTTTGCATTTTGTTGCTCTCAGGCCATGTGAAAAAGAAATGCACCCTTTCATACAAACTAAGAACTGAGTGGTCGATCTTAATACTGTTGCTGTCAGTAAATCTTTTTGAATCATGGCTGAGCAATGACAACCCTTTCAAAATAAAGGGATCCTATTTCAGATACGTCCACTAGATGGGGCAGTCCCTTTAGAAATGCACGTGATGTTGGCTGAAACCATCTCAACCTGCAGCATCTGGACTGGAGTGAATGGCTTCTTATGCAGTGTGTGTGCACCAGAACCTCAGGCTACTTCACAGCGAAGGCTGAGCTCTTATGACTGACTTCATTGAAATATTATTACTGATTGTCCCACTGTAGTCTTCTTCTGTGGTCACAAAACTGGACTGGATGTGGGAAGAACTGGCTCCTCACATCATATCCGTTGCCTCCATTATCTCGTAGACTGCGACCACAGCCTGACATCAGCAGCCCAAAGATACTGTCTGAGTCCCTCCACGGACACCAGTCCTTGTCTTTAATTTGTGGAGGGATAGACAGGAACATTAACTACCTCCTGTCGTGCACAGATTCAGAGACCAGATCCTCCAAAGTCTGGTTTAACTATTTATCTTTAAATGTTACAGTTACGGCTGAAGTTTGCCAACGTCACATTTCTCCGCAATTCAGAACAGTTGCCAGTTGTCTGCCCAAAAGTGATTGTTGTTGTCAGCGCGACATCACAGTGATTTGGTCTATTTAGCAAACCAGTTTCCACCGGTTTTAAGTGGCACCATTGTAATCAAGGATGTGTCATCAACGGAGGGCGTTGCACAATGCTCAACAGAAGTAAACAGTCGTAGTATGATGGCGGATCGCACTGATTACCTGTGAGCTTTTGTTCTGTCACTACAGATATTTGGGTTCTTCCAAAAAACAAGCATGGACCAAATTTTAATGAGAAGAAGGCGCCTTCTCCATCCTCTCTTTCCAACCTGTAGAATATGACACGCCCACTGACATCGTCACAGTTTGCACTTCAGGTCAAAAACAACCTGATATGTTTTTGGGTTCCAGTTGAGTGCCAACTTTTCTGCGGAAATGCTCCGACTTGTTTGAAATTAGGTGCGCGAACCAGAGCGGAGCCTGTTCCACATTAGTGAAAAGAAGTGTTAGGCCCCGATCACACAGGAAGTGTTTTGCAGGTTGCAAAATGCGAGGTGCACCCCACTGCCTTTTTTTTTAAAATTAAATGCCACTAGTGAAAAAAAAAACACTTGTTGCGCCTTTTTAATTGTTGCCAGGCAACCACGAACTCGCCTCCTTATTCTTCCTGTGTTATCAATCTACTGTTTATTTATTTTGGTTATTTGACAGTAATCAGTATGTAGCTCCTGACATGTTGAGGCAGAGGGTACTTGCTGTGGCTCTGGTTGAGGGTGAGAGGCTGTCAGTAAATAGTTTGTTGGGCACAGGGAAACAGAGATCTGTGTGGGTACATGAGACCCTAAAAAAGAGGGTGGATCATGGGGAATACCACCAGTTGGTCCAGGAGCTTCTCCTCCATGATGGATGTTTCCAGGCATATTTTAGGATGACTCAGGGGCAGTTTGACAACCTGCTGTCTATCGTCAGGCCGTATAGCTCTGGGCATCCAGCAACCGCTACCACCAGTTTCTCCTCCATTGTTTACCACCACAGAAGGCCCGCCTCTCAAATCATCTGATTGGACAATGGGAAAAAAGTGACCAAAGAAGAGATGATGTGGGGCATAATTCCACTTGGAGTTGAAGTTTTTCAACTCAGGGAGTTCAGAGTGCTCCGGCAAAAACACCATGTGCCTAGAGCACAGAAACACAAGACGCGTCGCAATGCAAAAATGTGAGCAAAAAGCTTCATTCTCATTAAAAACAATTACAAAAAGCGCCTCCAGCTGCTGAAACACTTCCTGTCTGATCAGTGCTGATTAGGGTCGTTTCC